ACAAAATGCGACCATTGGCGCATTTGTGACGACGAAGAATACAACATTCGGTGTGCATGTGGATGATCCTGCTGACTGCGAGAATAGCCAACTTCGACGGCCATTGACTCGAAAGCTTTGTCGCACTAAGAATGCATGGTGGATGGGGAAGGCGAAGCAGATGCTATGCCGAACGCCGCCAACATAAGAAATGCTATGGCTACTTAGATGCGGTGTATGGACGCAGGTTGCAGCCGCTGAGGATGCTGCTCTATGCTACTTCAGGCGCTGCCTGCACCCAGAGTGCAGACACAATGAGGATCTGGCGAATGCACCTTGACTGTCTCTACAACAACCATGTTGCATGGTCTGCAGCAGCAAGAGATGAAGATGTGTCCTGTCGACACACCGACACCGCATGAGACGAAGAGAGCACTTGCTCAGCTGTGAAACGGCAAGTGCGCCGGGATCCATCTTGAATTGTTGAAACACGGTGGGCCGGTTTTAGTAAATGCGCCATACCACTTGGTGAAAGGCGTGTGGATGGAAGAGGAAGTGCCGCCGAGCAGAAGGATGTGCTTATGCTACCACTGTACAAGGGCAAGGATATAAGCATTGTTGCAAGAATTATAGTAGCGTCAACATGCTGAGTTGTGTGGGGAAGGTGATCGTCCAAATCCTGCTCAGCTGGCTAGTCACTCAGGTCGTTGAACGGAATGTCATGGAAAAGCAATGTGAATTCCGTTCGGGCCAAATCACCATAGATATGGTGTTCTCGGCTCGCCAGTTGGAGTAGAAATGCAGAGACTGACACCAGCCATTAAAGTCACTATAGACTTGACCAAGACATTTGACATGGCGAACCGCGAGGCACTGTGGTTGATGTTGGGTAAGTTTGGTTACCCGAGTAAGTTTGTAGGTTTAATTGAATGATTGCATAGTGGTACGCGGGCCTAAGGTGCGGCTGAGCGAACAAGCCTCGAATTACTCTGCTGTTGTCTCTGGTGTGGAATAAGGCAGTGTCTTATCCCTTGCGCTGTCCAATAGTTACCTTCATGCAATGATGTCTGGTGGTTTTGATGCTTCTTGTGATTACGATCTCCGTTTTCGGAAAAGCTGTCGCTTCTGGATGAGAACGCATGTGTGAAGCAACCATCCGTAGGTTGCTGTTTGCCGACGAGTGCGCGTTGTTAGCACACAGTGGGCATGATGACGGATCTCGTTTTGACAGCGGCCAAATTCGGGCTCACCACCAACAAAAGCAAGATCGTTTGTCTTTTCCGGCCTACACCATAAATGGGATACGTGGGTCTGATGCAAATCTACATTACAAGGTCATTTTGAATCCACTTCGAGATTTTGCTAGCTACGCAGCGTAATGTTTACCGACCTGTGGTTGACGAGCGAACTACGCATGCGCGTATCGAAGGCGGCTGCCACATTCGGCAACCTGGAGAAACGTGTGTGGAACCACCATCAGCTTATCGCTGGAAGGAAGTTAATGGCATACAAGTCTATAGTACACTCCGTTCTTCTATACGGCAGCGAAACGTGAACAAGGTACAGAAAGGAGGTCCGTTATCTGGAGCGCTTGCTTCAACCGTACCTGCGTCGTATTATGCGCATCAGGCTGGGGTGACCGAGCTGCAGACACGGAGGTGCTCTGCCCCAACGGCATGTATGCAATGAAGTGTATACATCTATTGTGTCATCTGTAGTGCCGCGTGCATGTTCACCGCATGGATTCGACCCGGATATCGAAACAGCTGCTTTGTGGCCAACGCCGTGCAAGAAAGCGGTACGTGGGAAAACCGAAGCCAAGTTACCAGGACAGGATCAAAGTGTTTATCAGGCGCTGGGAAACGATGGCCCTTGATGGGCGCCGACGGCGACAGCTTACGAAGAGGGCGGTTGCTCAGGCGTTTGAAAAATCACTACTGCGTGCAGAAAAAGGCGCCGGTTGAGGAAGCGACAGGCGACGACTGTACCTAGTCAAATGACGTCGAGCGCATTGTGCTGTAGCACATGCGGTCGCGAGTGCTTCAGCCAAGCGAGCTTAGTAAGCCATCAGCGTCGCCATGCGAGGCAAGCATTTAAGAGAAGCGGATTAGGCTAAATAAGTAATCATCATTAGCACAGCGCTTGGTATGCACTCAGCTTCTTGGTCAATTCCATTTACTAACTGTTATACGGGCACCAAGCGACCCTGCAAAATTTACACATTACCGCACGCGTCACCAGGCCACTCGGTGCGAAACGAATTTCCAACCTCTAACGCAGTAAATTCTGGGCAAACACAGCGAGTACGGAAATGAAGATGGTCCCATTGAATCCCACACCTCAACACGGTGAGTCATCCTCTTTACATTCAAAACTGGGTACTGGTCTGCCTTTGCTTAGTCGTAACAAACACTGCAAACGTCTGTCTTATTTCGCTCTTGCGCGCGGTACTATGGGAATACATGTCATTAGTCGGTATAATCGTGGTGTATCAGTCAATTAGTCGGTATAATATAAAGTGTGTGCGACTAATCGCGGCTAAGTTTTCGGGAGTGTTGTAATCTATTCGTCTGTCTACCCCACGCGCAAGGCGTATTTCGAGAGAGCAATTCACGCGTCGATTAGGATTACCTACGGGTAAAGTTTGGAGCATCGCGTCAACGAACTAGGCTAATCGTTTACTAACGATCAAACCAGAACAGGGGACGACGACTTTATTTCCGACCGACGGCGGCATTATTACTGTAGTGACGGTAGTGTTTTTGCACCACGACGGATGTGTACGTAGATTGATGTTACAATAGAAACTGAGTTTTATGTCCGCGCTAACCGACGAATTCATCAATTCTTGCTTTCAGACAGGTCCGTTTAACAACACTTAGTCGGTGGATCATGTCATTACTGACATCACCGAGTTCCTGTACGACACCAATACTGGCGTAACCTAGGATGCTTGATCCAAGCATTATGAAGGCCTGCTCACCGTTGATCTGCCCTGCCAGGATGACGTGTGGAAGGTCTGGCTGCTTCTGCACAAAACTGACACGGTCGAGCATCAATGTTATACCAACATCATCTTGCCAAAGAACCCCGAAGATGTTACGTTTCGTTAGACATCCAGAACGCTGCTACACATTTTGGCGAACAGTCCTCGCTGCTAATATCTGCAGCTGGCGTGGTGCCGATGATTTCACCACTTATGCGGGAGTCATCAATCGAGTATGTGAACGATTTCAGCTTGGTGCCCTCACAGAAGACCAGTTCAAATACCTGGTTTTCATTTTTAGCCTCCAATCCGCCCATGATGCCGACATCAGAACGTGCTTCGTTTCCAGTGAGTAACAAAATAGCGCTGTCACACTCCAGAACCTGGCCGAGGAGTGTCAAATGCTGTTGAACCTGAAACACGACTCTGCTATGATCCAGAACGCCACCGCATCTAGTTTGGTCCGTGCAGTCGCAGTACCCATACCGCAATCTCCCGGGTCTACGCAACCCAATAGATCGAAGTCCCCACCCTATCCGTGCCGATTCTGTGGTGACTGGAATTTCCACTGAGACTACAATTTCTGCGAGCATCGATGCCGACGATATGAGAGGGTGGGGCACCGTGATAGCTAATGCAACTCGACGCCGACAAAGGGAGACAAACCTGGCCTGGCCCCCACCTCCAGTCGAAAGAAGGGGCCCCGGTTCAGATGCAAGCCCAAATTTTGTTCGGTTGGCGGCGCACTGAGCCTGCTGGCCCCATGCCAAGTCAACGCCGTTGGCTGTAGAAAGTTCGTGGACGTCTCGATCAACGATCAGCCTATCCGAATGCTGTTCAACACTGCCTCCGACATCACGAAAATCGCTGGCGCTCGCTTGGTAAACCAGCACGCGTGCCGATTTCCTAATCAGCCACCAGCGCCTGCGGTGATCGAGTGCAGCTAACTGGGCCGATGCAACGAGCTGTCTCCTTTTGAGGCATCGCATTCGACGGGATCTGCTACATCACAAAGGCGAAGCTCAACCTACTTGGTCTCGATTGGCACGAAAACCAAGGCGTAACCGAACTCCCTCTTTGGGCCATCTATAGTGGGGTACTTTCTCCGACAGGACCTACTGCACAAGCCGATGAGATTACCTAACAGTTCGCCACAGTGTTCCAGGATGGTCGTAGCTGCTGTACACGGACTAGCGTCGTGTTAAAACTCGCGTCCGGAGTCTAGCCAATATTCTGTTTCAAAAGGCCTGTCCCGCACGCAGCTCCACCGAACCCAAACGCTTGGAGACGGGCGTCATGGTACCAGTATCCTAATCCGCCTGGGCAACCCCGATCGGTGGTCGCAAGGCCATATGGATCCCTTCGCATTTGTGTTGATTTCTTCACCGGCCTTAACGCCGCACCGGAGCCGAACTGTTACCTACTACCGGTCCCAGAATATCTCTGCACAGTACTCAACGGTAGCAGGTTCTTCGCCAATATCGACCTGGCAGATGCCTATCTGCAGAGCGAAGTCGCGCCTGAGTCACAAACCTTGCTGATTATTAACAAATAATGCAATCTCCTCCAGTGCACCAGAATAACGTTTGGTGTCAAGACCGCCACGGTCCCTTTCCTAAAAACGATGAACGCGACGATCTCCAGCATTTCGCGTAGGGCCACGTACTTGGACGATCTCCTCATCGTTGGTCGAATCCCAGAAGAGCTTCGAAGGTGTCTGGTGGTCGTCCTTCGAGGTGTTCAGGAGTATGGACTCCATCTGAAAGCAGAAAAGTGCAAGGTAGAAATTGGGTGTTGCCTACCCGAAAACACTGAACTGTATTACGCGTTTCAGTAGTAGTTGATCTCACCAGATAGAGACAGCAAGCACCGAACCCGGGAACATAGTGATGTTAGTTGTGACCGCTACTCCTAAGCCACCGGGTCACAATTCGCTTATTCGAGTGAGGGAGCAAGTATGTAAACTATACATCGATGGGTCATTTTTGACGATTCTTTGTTAGGCCAACTGATTGATAGAGAAAACGAATGATTGTGATAGATCAAAATCCAATGCAAAGTCGGAAGTTGTATGTACAAAGACTAATATGACGCACTTAAAAGTATCAAGAATAAAAGTCCAAGCTTCAATGTTATTCACATATGAACTCTACATTGAAACGTGAACTTCAGGTGGATCATCCCATGTTTTATGCTTTCCAGGCGCGAGATTTATTAGCTTGACATGTACCGCTTGATACTTTTCGTTCTTCGGTGGTAGCAACATCTTCTTATACTCTACGAGATCGCCTTGGTTTGGAATAACTTCACCATCGATACTGAAAATTAAGATCATTGAAATACACAGAAACGCACTCAAAGACATGTACGAACAAGTAGTCCCCACCATCATCCGGTTTGATATAACCATGCCCTTTCTCTCGGCAAAATGAGACAATAACGCCTTTACCGGATTCAGCATTTGCAGCACGTTCGGACTGGGACTGTGTACGATTTCGTCTGTGAATGACCGGATGGGGAGGAACAAGTTCGAGAATCGGATCTCTAGGGGGATTCATGGCCATGTTACGGTGTCAGGTGGAAGAAATTGATGTGCTGAAATAAAGGTAAGCGACAGTTTTGGTTAGATATTTAGACTCAGCGGGTGGAATTCGAACACCCTAAAAATGGAAAGCGCATGGTGCGGTGTGTATGGATATTAGAAAATTGACACAAAGATGTACGAACTGCGTGGTAGCGGAAAGTAATGCAACAGTGAGGAAGGAGATTAGCCACCATCCACATAGTCTATGGGACGCACAGTTGTACCACGGCTCCTGACAAGTTCATTGGAGAGCAGATCCGTAAGAGAAAATAGGCAAAAGGAGGATGGAAGGGAAAACCAGTTGCTTCATTGGAGCTACCCATGCACATTTCCTTTAACGGTTGGTCCTGTTAAATGCAACTAAACCATCATAATCGGTGGCATGACTTTCAGTGGGTTCAAGAAATAGGATAACAATAAATAGCAGTAATGGGAAAAAGAAAGTAGAACGCGAAGAAAATGTAGAGTTAAAAGGTAAAATTAGCCGAGACGAAATGCTAAAAGATAGGGGAAAAGAAACCGAACACAGAAACGTCACTGACCGTGGCATGTACGGTAGGGTCTCCAATCGCTAAGATTGTCCATTCCGAGGCTGATCAAGTTTTTGTGCCTTATGCCACACCGTCGGTTGGCCACATTTCCGTTTCGCCCAACTTGATGCAGCGACGGCGTGGAGCACACGCCGAGTAAACCGGTCAACGGGTACACCGAGTTCAGTTTAGTTTAGTTGAACAAGGTGCCGTGGATCCAGTTGTTAAAACTCATATCGGCAGAATAATAATAATAATAATAATAATAAAACGGTAGGAAATGGCATTGAATTCAAACATTGCGTCAAGAGAATGGAATAAAGGAGGTGCGCAAAATGAAAATTAAGAGCCAAATGCAAGTAAGCGGATGCAGGAACGCTTATGACTGTGCTATGACTCTAAGGGTCTCCAAACATTGATGTGGACCATTACGATGCTTAAATCCACGATGGCTTGACTAAATCTCTTGGTCAGTTTCTCCAAACCATTATTCCATTTCAGTGACAGGCCACCTCGCGGGTTCCCTTATCTCGGTGCAGCCACTGCGTGTGATGCACATCGACGAAGGTGGTCAACAGGCATATCAATATCATCAACAGTAGTATATCAGTCACTTGATCTGATGCTTCGCTGCCATACAACCATGATGACCTATGGAATAAAGAATAATAAGACGGAGAGAAGGGGGACTTACAGAAAAACCTTAATTCCTTAAGAAAACATTCAGGGTCAAAATACCTACACCTTGCCAGCAGCATACAGTTATAAACACTTGGCTATCATGCAAAGATAAGGTGGCATCGGCGAGACAGCTTCCTTGCGGCTTTCACTGCCCCGCGTCATAATCAGCCATTAAACCGCAGATAACTCAACACCAAACACACTTTAAACAAGCAGTTTGATTAGAAGACGGCAACAGACATGGCGCTGGTTCCCATTGCGAAACATGTCCTGTAGCGTCTCAAGCCAAGCACAAGGCGAGTCACGTGAACTCCAGCCTGGAAGGCGAGACGGGCCGACCACACCAAGTTTGGTTGTCAATGATTTCGTTTCCCGATGTCAAGTCAACTTGTGTCCACCTCAGACCTTGCGCCACCTTACATCTAGTAGACAGAACAAGGCACTCCTCGGTAAGCGGTGACCGGCCATATGTAGTATGTGTATAATCCAACCCAATTTATTCAGTGCTATCTATTGTTCAAAGGAACTAGCCTGGTTATCACTGCCTGGTGCACGATTAGGCACATCATCGTTTCGGACACTCTGGTGCCACCCAACATCAGCAATGCTCCGCAGACAACGATGATCACAGACTTGAATGCGCCCCTGATCCTCAGACCGAAGGAGTGAAGTCTCATTCCAATACAGCAGGACGGTCCTCACTGTGGCGTTGTATACACGGCCTTTCAAACGGAAGGAAAGCATTCTCTGTCGCCAAAGATGCCGCAGGTTCAAGAAGGAAGTTCTGGCTTTTGCGAGGCGATAACTGGTTTCAGTTTCTATGCGCCCATTGTTGTTGATGTAGCTTCCAAGGTAAGTGAATCGATCAACTAGCTCGAGCTCCACGCTGTCAAGGGTCAAGGAATCATCAAGTGGCTGGTGGTCCTGCAACAACGCTTGACAGCTGGAATGTGCGAAGCGTATGCTAAATAACGGGACCATTCTAGGCAGGCTATTCAGGGTTATCTGTGCTGCTGCAACATCGTTAAACCGCAAGATGATGTCATCCGTATAATTAAGATAAACTAACCTTGCACCAGGCAGAACCTCAAGGCTAGCATCGTGAGGCTCCGTAAAAGAACACTCCTTGATAGAGTTCACGACGAAACAGAATAAAAATGGGGAAATCGGACAACCCTGACAAACGCCCCTTGTTGTCGGAAAGATATCCGACAAGTCACTGTAGACCATGACACGGCCTGTAGTGTTCGAGTATAGAGCACGCAAAATGTTTAGATATTTTGTGGGAACAACACTTCGCGAAAATGTTTCGAGCAGAATAGATCGGTCCACTGAATCGAAAGCACACTTGAAGCCGAAGTACAGAGATATTGTCGGTCTGCGGTACAAGTGGCGCTGCTCTAGCACCTGCAGCAGCTTAAAAATTGGTCTATACAACCCTGTCCTGGGGGGAACCCTGCCTGTTCTTTCCTTAATCCGAGATTCCCGTTCTGCAGTGAGGCGAAGAACGAGAATTGAGGCCAGTAACTTTGTCACAACCGGCGTTAGACTAATACCCCTATGGTTAGAATAGTCTATGCGACTGCTCTTCTTGTATATTACCACTATAATCGATTCACTTCAGTTAGCTAGGAAGATCTCTTCCATCCAGATGTTCGACAAAGGTCAGTGCCTTGCAGAAGACCTCACATCCATCTTGAAAAGTGCAGGTGGAAGGGAATACGGGTTGTGATAGCGTTTCGGACCTCAGCCTCCGACGGAGGCATAAACTAACCGTCCGTGGCTCGTCCTGCATTACACCTGACAGGTGTCAGTTTGTTCGAAATAAGTGCAAGCTACATATTAGATTGACCCGGCTTCAGTATGAGAAGGGCTTAGCTGATAATACCTCGACAAATCCCAAAATTTTCGCCTACGTTAAACGATGATGTGGTGCAAACGCGCCCTTTCCAGCGTTGCTTCGAAGGGAAAGGGAACTATGCCTATGGCGACTTTGACAAGGCATGCGTGCTTGGTAAGCAGTATACAAACGTCTTTGTCAGAGAAACAAATATGCCAAGCAGAAAACGAGCTTCAAGATTCTCTGAAGAGTATTGTCTGGATGAAATTATTGTAACTGAGTCTCAAGTTCTCCGGTAGCTGAGAGAAGTGAATCCAACTAAGGCTTCCGGGCCAGATTCTGTACATCCAAAACTACTGCACGAATTGGCAGCAAAACAGTCGACCTCAAACTTTTATGTTTCAGAAGTCTCACGATAACTGTCTTAGCTACCGAATGGAAGGAGTCAGTTGTATGTCCAATTTTCAAGTGCGGTGACAAAGGACTACCGGCTAACTACAGGCCTGTCAACTTGCCTAGCGTGGTGGTTAAATTATTTGAAAAATTAGTAAGATACGGTGGAGAACACGTTGAATAACTCTAACCTGTTCAGCATCGCGTAACATGGTTTTCGCAAAGAATTTTCGTGTCAAACGAACGTGCTGGTAGCTCTTGAGAGCCGGGCTGAAGCCGTAGACCGTGGACATGCAGTGGACGCGCTGTTCATTGACGTCGTCAAGGTCTATGACACTGTCCCCCATTCGCGACTCTCACTGAAGTTGAGGTCCTTCGGTTCATCTGGTCAAGCTCTCCAGTTGGTGTCCGCTTTTCTGGATGGACGGGAACAGTGTGTTCGCGTAGGAGACAATCTCTCGCTCCAACAAGCTGTTCTTAGCGGCGTTCTGCAAGGCTCTGTCCTAGGTCCGCTTCTGTTCGCAGTCTACGTGAATGACTTGCTGGGGGAGCTTGAGGTACCATCGCTCTTATTTGTTGATGACCAAAAGCTCTGAAATATAGTTGATGTCCCTGGAGGTGTTGCGACTCCTCAACGAGCTCTGGATAGACACTGGGAATGGTCCGTTTTGAGGATGCTGTCCATTACTAAGCAAAGCGTTAAGTGCGGCTTTTCGGAGCGCCTGATTCCTCCACAAGTCATCTGACCGATGGGGGTGAACTTCCTCAAGTGACTCATCAGGTTGATTTAGGTGCCGTCCACTATTTCACTCTACATTCTGGAGACAACCGGAAGGCGATTACTAAAGGATTCCGGATGTTGTGGTCAATTAGGCGTTCTTTGTAGGACTCAGTCCTTCAGGGACAACCGTTTATTCAGCAAACGTAAACCGGTGAAAATTACCGCAGGTTTGGCAAGCCAAACTCCTCAATGTAAGTGACTTGTTCAAGTCTATAACTAACGATCCTTCAGAGGTTCCTTCTTTGCTTCCGTTAAACAAACGGTAAATCACTCACATGAATATCGGCCAATCCGAGTCCAATAATCGAATCCATTAGGTCCACCTCCCACTGGCTGTCTGGCTCGCTCGGTTGGTCCATCCGCTCACTATAATCTGTCAACCCCATCACATCCTCCTTTTTTTCGTGTCTTTGCGACTCCATATTGCTGTCAACCCCGTATAACTTGCCACTCCGCGTCGTGTTCTCTGTGTCTGCGGTCGTGGTCTCCTTGCCACACACCATCTGGCACTCCACTCCCAATCCACATTGTTGTCTCCGGTGTCGTCTCAAAGGCACCCAATTTCTTCAGAACGTTTTCCCTCCAATGTTTACTTCGTACAACCTGTCACCGACCGTAGCAGTTATCACACCCTTCTTCCATCGCTCTTGACTATCGGGTAATGGTTGAACCCACAGTTCTTCCCCGACTGTTAGCCCAGGTAGTACCCGTGCACCGCGGTCGTAGTACCGTTTCTGAGTGGTCATTCGTCGTCTCAAATTGTTCTATAATCGCTCGTGCTGTGGCAAAACTGGGCGCAAAAGTGTGGAAGATGTCGGCATCAGAGTTCTAGTCCATTGGCTGTAAAGGTGCTGCACTGGGCTCAAACCGATATTCGTTGAAGGTGTTGCAATTCTCTAGTAGCAGGAGGCACGGGTCATCGCCAGTTGCCCTAGTCTTTGATAACAGTCGCTTGGCCCGCTTCACTGCCGACTCCGTTTTCCAATTCGAGTGACTGTGATATGGGCTTGCTTGCTGGTGCGCGAATTCCCACTTGGTGGCGAATGCCTGGTACGCAGCGTTGATAAACTGGGGTCCATAATTAGAGACCAGCTCTTCCGGTATACCGTGCCGCGCGAACTGACAATTGTGTTTGTTCATTACTGCCTCTGTGGTCGTAGTGGCAAGTAAATCGATTTCAACATAAGCACTATAGTAATCCACCGTGAGTAAGTAATCTTTCCCGCTATCACTGAATAAATCCACCGCCACCTTCTGCTACGGTAGGGCAGGAACATCATGCAGCATCATTGGTTTTCCTTTGTCTGCCGGATTTCGTGCGAATGGCACGCCCCACAATACGATACATAATCCTTTAATTGACCCGTCATTTCTCGCCAAAAAGTCAATTCTCTTGTTCGGCTAATGGTATAGTTGGTATCCAGGTAAGCGCGATCAACGTATTTCAGCATATCTCCTCGGAGCGATGACGGATCAGAATACGGCTGCCCTTAAACAGCAAACTATCGTAGACAGAGAATTCATCACGAAAATTGAAGTAGGGTGTTAGTTCCTTCGATAGCGGCTTTTTTGTCCCAGGCCACCCATTTAGAATAGCGCATCGCAAAGCTGAAAACATTACATCTTCCTCTGTGTGGCGTCTTATTTCCTTCAAGCAATCTTCTGTCACTGCCAGATCCTGTACTAGGTTTACTGCTTCGACTTTTTCCAGATTAGGCTCGAATACCAGCAGATGAGCTCTTGACAGCGTATCCGCGAGGAACATCTATGTACCAGGGGTCATATTTTTGAAGCTGGGTAAGCATATACTGAAAGCGACGAAGAAAGACGTGCAGTGGTTTCCTGGCTATTGACACAGGCGGTTTGTGGTCGGTAAACATAGTTGTCTTTCTTCTGAAAGTATAATCGTTGAAACGGTCCGTGGAATACCTCACCGCGAGCATGTCCTTCACAATTTGCGCATAGCGCTGCTCGGTCAAGGTGAGTGCTTGACTGCATAAATCCAAAAGTTTTCCATTCTGTAAGAGAACAGCACCTATTCCATATTGGCTACTGTCACGCTGTATCTCCAAAGGCTGCACTGGATCGTAATACCCGACTACAGGTGCGTTGATGATGAGGTACTTAATAGTTTCGAATGCGGTTTCTCGTTCTTTTACCCAACTCCACTTTACTCCTTTGTGAGTTAACTTTCTGATCGGCGTTGTGATATCAGCGAGTCTTGGCATCAAGTAACACATCATACCGTTAAGCAATGGATTCCCTTCATGTCGTTAGGGGGCAGCATCTCTCGAATCGACTTAATTGTTCCTGGATCGACGCTGACTCCTTCGGTCGTTAGCACATGCCCATGGAAAATCATCTCGTCTTCCCTAAGTCCAATTTTTTACGTGTAAGCTTGATGTTATTTTGCACACAACGCTGCAATAAACAATGAAGATTAACGTCATGCTCTTCTTCTGTCGAGCCATAGAGCAAAACCTCGTCTGCCACAACAACTAAATCCTTCATCGCTTGCACCAGTCGATTTAGAAAAATTTCACTCGACACCTTCAAAGCAAACGGTAAGCTCAGCCAACGATAACGTCCGAACGGTGTGGCAAAGGTAGTAAGGAAACTGGATTCTTCATCTAGAACCACGTGCCAGAATGCCGAAGAGGTCTACTATCATGAAAGACATAGCTTCGGCCAGACGCGGCAAAATGTCTTATGGGGTAGGTAGCACATAATGCTCTGTACGCAAGGCCTCATTCAACAGTTTCGGGTCAATACACACGCGTAATGATTGCAACCTGGCTAACCCAGTCGGTTGGCTCAACGACTTTGGCAAGCACACCCTCTCTCACTAATTTGTTCAATTCAGCGGAGAACTTTTCACGCAAGGCAAGGAGAACTCTACTAGCCGGTAGCGCTGACAGTCGTATCAAAGGATCTAAGGACAAGTGAGCGGTGCCCTCAAAGTATCCCGAACTCGGACTAAACACAGAAGGAATTTGATCACTAATAGCGGTTACTCCCTGGCAAGCATGCACGAAACGATGATGATTAAAAACAACAGAACCGAGAGACTAGATCGCATCAATGCCCAGAATCGGCGTGAGCATCTCATCCACGATCACAAACTCCAGTCGATGTGCGGCTCCGTCTCTTGTGTTAATCTGTAGCAGTCTGGAGATTCCAGATTTGATTGTGTAAAATTCTAACTGAAATTATTTCATGGTACACCTAGGCGAGCGATGCGAATTGTTGAAATGGTTGCTGAGTTCGGTCGCTTGAGTTGAGCATTGTCATTCTGCTTGGCGCTCGTTTCGGCAAGGATAACGACACCCGACTTTTTAGCATTAGTCAAGAGCTGATGTAGGTCCTGGTAGAATTCGTCCTTGACTGAGTCGCCACTGCAGTCAGTTGGAGAGTACACGGAGACCACAAACAAGTTGTGTCTCTCTTCGCGGTGTCTGTTGATTCTACATGAACTCCGAAGCCGAACTACACATAGTCGGCTATTAATAGGGAACCAGTCCGGTAGTGCCGCCTCGGCCTTGTCACTTAGTGCTATACCTACACCAGCCAGTCTCACTGAGGCTGCTTCTGGATCTCCAGAAAGACGCAGGTGATATCTGACAAGGCATGCGTGCTTGGTAAGCAGTATACAAACGTCATTGTCAGAGAAACAAATATGCCAAGCAGAAAACGAGCTTCAAGATTCTCTGAAGAGTATTGTCTGGATGAAATTATTGTAACTGAGTCTCAAGTTCTCCGGTAGCTGAGAGAAGTGAATCCAACTAAGGCTTCCGGGCCAGATTCTGTACATCCAAAACTACTGCACGAATTGGGCAGCAAAACAGTCGACCTCAAACTTTTTATGTTT